CAATAATTAAGAGATGTAGAAAAATAAAGGCCAATATCTCTATTTGCACCCTCCGTTTATATTATTTTCGTGGTCAACACCTTTCAAAATTTTTTTTCCCTATTCACACCTTCCATTTTTCAAAACCCATGAAAAACTCAATATTTTAACAGACCGTCATGATACCGTTAAAAAACGCACTACGTGGCACCTAGAAATTGACGTGGCACTATATGACGTTAGTAATCCAATGTGGACTCTTTTTTTATGACATGGCATAATTTTTTACACAAGTGGATGTCACGTGTACAGTGAGACCAACAAAAAATTGTAATACGTGACACAAAACAGTAACATGAACGTTATGTCACCTTATTAATCCAATGTGGACTTTTTTTTTTTTTTTTATGATGTGGCATTTCTTCATCTTTTTCTTTGCCCCTCATCCTTGGCATCATCTTCACCATCCTCTTCTCTTCTTCTCCTCTTCTCAATGGGTTTTACGGAACCCAAATTCTGGGTTCCGACCATTTTTTTTCATTTTTTTTCATTTTGAATGTATTTATCTTATTTTCTTATTTTATGCAAAGCAATTTGGAAAATTTTTTTTGTTGGAAATGTGAGTTTTTTTTTTTTTTGCTTGGAGAGTGTTTCTGAATAGGTTGCTAATTTGAGTTCAAGTGGGATTAACATGAATGATAATAACGGTCTTTTCATTTTTTGTGGGAAAGGGGTGGAAGATGCATATCATGTTTTTGTGTAGTATTCATTTATTTATAATTGTGTGGATGAAGATCTTAACTTGGTAGGCATTCATATGAAACTGGGTTCCACGAGAAACTTAGAACCTGGGTTCTGCGATCAAGTGGCCAGTCTTCCCACACTTGAAACATGCCCCAGTCTGCCAATAACATTCTTTCCCCCCCTGGTTCTTACCGCACCTCTTACAAAAATCAAAACTTGGTCTATTGCTTTCGGGGATCTTCCTTTTTCCCCTTTGTTCAGGCTTCTTGTTGAAAGGCTGGTTGTTGATAACCTTTCCCTTGCCTTTTGAGTCATGAGTCTCCATTTTTTGCTCCTCCATATCTTGCTCAATTATTTGAGCTGTGGCCAAGACCTCATCATAAGTCTTTAGCATTTGAGGAACCACCTTGTTCCTAATGGAAGCTTTCAACCCTCTTTGAAACTTCCTTGCCTTCCTAACTTCATCATTAACAAGGTGAGGAGAAAACTTCATAAGAGAACTGAATTTAGCTTGATACTCATCAACTGTCATGTCATCTTGCTTCAAATTCATGAACTCCAGTTCCTTTCTTTCCAACACAGCTGTAGAAAAATATTTTCGATAGAAGGCCTGAACAAACTTGTCCCATGTAACCTCCTCCCCTTTCTTAGAAAACCCATCTTGAGCAGCTATCCACCAATCATCAGCTTCACCTTCTAATGTGAACACTACTAGCTTCACTTTTTGCTCGTTAGTACATTTCAGGAGCTTGAACATCTTTTCTAATTTCTTAACCCAAGACTCAGCCACATCAAGATCAGGAACTCCTTTGAAGCTAGGCGGGTTCATGTTCTGAAATTGCTTCACCAATGTCAACTGCTCATTTCCTTCCCTAGAGTCCATTGTTTGCTGTGAATTGCCACCAGTGTTTTATGGGGCATTATTGTTGTTCTGATGTTGAAGATAATCCCTAAAGATGGAACTCATATCCGTAATGGCCTTTTGCATTATGTCCATTCGGGCATTCACGTCATCAGCAGGAGGAGGAGTAGAAGTATTGTTTCCTTGACTCATCTTTCTTCTCTGGTACTGAAACAAACAAAGAGTGCAAAACTAATAGTTAGGCAAAATCTAATCCTATGACACTAGACTCTAACTCATATGGCAGATCAATATATTAGCAAAACCTTGGCTCTGATACAAAAAATATAACACACCTCCCTAAGCACTTTTAGTCGTAGGAGAGTTCGGAAATAAGATTTATAATAAAGAATTGTAGCGGAAATAAAAACACTTTTGAAAAAAGAAGATCATAAATACCTGTAAAGGAAAACCACTTTAACAAGTCAATATATATATATTGAAAAAATGCCAAAATATTCAAAGTTATAAAATAAACCGAGCTAAGCTCATTTATAATTAATTTAAAGATTTTATACATAAAGGTAATTTACACAAAAATTATATGAGGCAAATTCTTCTCCAAAGCTTTTCAAAAAAACAAAGGCTGAGTCATTGTTTTGGTAACACATCGATCTGCTTCCCTATCAAAAACACGAGGCCCTAGCTTGCACATACAACGAGCATGCAAGTCCCGTGCCAAAAGCTCTTAAACCGAGAGGCTGCTACCTCGATCTACTGATCTGAAATGGGGGGGGAATTTTATGAGCTAACAGCCCATTAAGTAATAAGTTTAAGCTATAAACTTGGGTCTTAAGACCTTTAGACCTATCCACACAAAGAGCATAAGACACAACGAAATCAAATCACATAATATTATAATTCTTACTATTTAAATAATAACTTAATATCTCAAATCATAAGCACAAATGTCAAGGAATAATCAATGACATTTAAATTGAATTCATATACTAAAATCATATGCTCACAAATACTATGTCACAAGCGTAATGCATAAAATCGAAAATCACATAATGCTATGGAGTCCATTGAGGTGTGCTAGCAACACTGTACCGGAGCTAATCACAGTACTAACCTTACTGCGTAGAGGTCCACTAAATACACCGAAGGGTCTACTGAATACCCCAAACTTTAAGCTTAGGTCCACTTACTCCATAGCCACAAACACATACGCATGTCAAACAAATTCATAATATGTCCAAAATAATATTAGGACTTCCTATTGAAAGAGATCAAAGCATAATGTGTGAACAGTAATCGTGAACAATATAATTTACTTATAATTCCGTCAGGCAAAAATTCACACCCAAATCAAACAATAAAAAGGAATAACTCACTGTCTTTCCTATATAAGCCCCAAAATTAAGGATATTTCTAATGAAATTTTAATACTAAAAAATCTTA